ACCAAACAAGGTGAAGGAAAAAAGTGACAACGAAGGTAAACCATTATCCGCTGAACTTGATGGAAAAGAAAACTTGGTGGCGAACTCGAAAAATGAGAAGTCTGATTCTGGTGTTGACCGGAGTCGGGAAAGAGAAAGAGAGAGATCAAGAGGGCGGGAACGTGATGCCAGGGGTAGGGATTCTGATCGTGATAGCAGGGGTCGTGACTCTGATCGTGAGAGGGACCGGAGACGTCGCTCTAGGGAAAGAAGTTCAGGTATTGCTGGGAACCAATCAGATTTTTAGTTATCTTACTCCCTCTCCAGTCAAAAAATAAGAAGTGTTTAGGGCTGTCCTAATTCAGCATATTTAAACTTCGGTTGCATATTACTTTTGATGGGTTAAGTTTTGATATTTGAAAATTGTATGATCATATTACTTTCAAAATTTAGTTTTATATAAAAAGTATAGTTTTGCTTGTTTATAGATATTTTGTAACAAAATGTAGTAGTCTAGGTCACATTTTGAAGATTGCCAATGTCCAAAACATCACTTGTGACTAGAGGGAGTATTCAAAGTGTGTTAGTCGTTGAACTCTTACTCTCGGTAGTAGCAGAATTTTTACTCTCATCGAGAGAGGATGACACTAGGAGTTGGGGCAATTTTCTGGTTTATTTCTCACACAAACTCACACAAATGCCATGCCAACCCGAGGGGTTGGGGATACATATTTATAGGCTGCTAGCCAGCCAAGCATATGCCAATATGCTAGTTTAAGATGCTGTCCTCTAGATGCTAGTCTAAGATGCTATCCTAGATGCTGTCCTCTAGTCTAAGATGTTGTCCTATGCTGTCCTAAAAACAGACCATGCAGCCACAAAGACCATGTGACCAGCACAGCCCCACAAAGACCAACACATGAGACTTATCCCATCATTCTTCCTCTAAGTCTTGTGCGTCGTGTTGTGGGAAAGTTGAACTATCCCGGTCCTGGAGCAGAGCTCAAGTCTGCTCTAGGAACTTGATCCTTCCAAGGGGCTTGGTGAGTAGGTCCGCAAGCTGGTCCTTGGTGTTGATGTAGCTCGCCTTGATGCTCCCTCCAAACAACCCCGGATGAAGTGGTACCTCACCCGGATGTGCTTGCTGCGTTCATGGAAGACGGGGGTCTTTGCCAGGGCTAGAGCGGACTTGCTATCCACCACAGCTCCCTTTGCTCTAGTGTCTCTCGCCGAGGAGATCACCAAGCAATCGAAGCGAGCAGAGCGTCTGAGTCGAAGCGGTGGAGGCCGCTATGCTATGTACTCGGCCTCGCACCGGTGGGACAGGCCACCACTTGTCGCTTGACCGATCGCCGCCTAACGAGGCACTTGCCGAAGAAGAAGAGGATCCCGCTTCGTGCTCTTCTTTGGTGTCGATGTGTCGCCGGGCGTGGTCGCCATTCAGCTGCAGAGCTAACGAAGTGTGCCGCCCTGGGCACCTAGGGTAGTAGAGGCCGTGGTCGAGAGTCCCATAACGTAGCGGATGATCCTCTTTCACACTGTTGGTGCTCCGTTGTCGGTCACCGCATGAACCGACTAACGAGCCGACGGAGAATGCTGGTCCCGGCCGTGTGTGGGCGAGGTAGCGAAGGCTCCCCACAAGACGCCGGTATGCGAAGCGCCCACCTCCTCCACCGTCTTTGTCGCGACTCGACGACCTCTCCTCCATCGGTGAGAGCTGGGTTGCGATCGGTGAGCCCAACTAGCTCAACGACGCAGCGCTTGGCGTGGCGGTCCGTCAAGCGTGATCCCGAGTCATCTTTGGTGCACCTCGATTCCGTGTAGAAGGAGAGAGGCCCCATGTCACTCATCTAGAAGGTGGCCTTCATCTCTTCCTTGAATGCCGCCACCTCCGCATCCTTGGTGCCGGTGATCACCAAGTCGTCGACGAGACACCCACCAGTGAGCATTTCCTCCATCTTTGCCCGTCGGTAGATGGTCGCCTCGTCGCGGCTTTGCTCGAAGCCCATCCCTTTAGCGTGGAATCCGACTTGGCATTCCACGCCCTCGGTGCTCGCCGCAAGCCATAGAGGGCCTTGCGCAGCGGAGCACCTTGCCCTCCGCGTCTTGGGGATCGCAAATCTCGGCGTGGTGGTGCACGAGACCTCCTCCTTCAAGTCGCCGTTAAGGAACGCCGACTTTGCGTCCATGTGATGAACACGCCACCCTCTCCGGGTAGCTAAGCGCGCAAGGAGTCGACGGACTCCATCCGTGCCACGGAGCACACAGCGTCGTCGAAGTCGACCCTCTCTGTGCATGAAACCTCGTGCCACCAAGCGAGCCTTGTGCTTGACGATGGCATGGCGGCTTCATCCTCATCGCCTTGTACACCCACTTAAGGGTGATCGCGCGGTGACCACGAGGAAGGTCGCAAGCTCCCAGTGCGGTTCTTCTCAATCGCATCCATCTTCAATCGCATCGCGGTAGCGCCATGCCGCGTGTCTCTAAACCTCCGCGCAACGACCGAGGCTCGCCGTCGTCACACGCAAGGTGCAAGCGCGCTCTAGGTCGTGAGGCACTAGTCCGGCGACCGCCGGTAGTCCGAGAAGGTTCTCCATCGTGACGGTACCGCAACGGCTCGCCGCCGTGGTACGCTGTAGCGCGACGCGCCTCCTCGTCGTGAGAGAGCGAGTAGCGAAGCTCAGCGGGCCGTGCTCGACACGAGCCGGTGGTGGAGTAGACGCCCGGAGTGGTGCTGTCGATGCCGGAGTCGCGTGGCGGCGCTGCTTACCGTGGTGGAGCCGGTGAAGAACTCATCGCACCGAGGTCTGGGGAGAGAGCGTGGTGCTATCGGAATAGCAGCTCCGGGGTCGGTGGAGACTTCGGGATCTGGGTAGACGCGCTCGCCGAAGAAGAGCCGCCTACTCCCCAGCTCCTCGAAGTGGACGTACTCGACGGTGAAGTCGTCGTGACGTCGGAGCCGAAGTTGTCGCCCACCGCTTTGTCCCACGCCCATCTCGCCGTCGTCGAACACAACGTCGCGCGGCGCGTGCGCATACACGCCGTGTCTTCGGGTCAAGGATGCGGTAGGCCTTCGAGCCTCCGCGTAGCCGATGAACACTCTCGAGTGCTCGCCGCCGAGCTTGCCGATGTGGCCAAGCTCTTTTGGCGAACGCGAGGCGTAGAAGACCCGCAAGTGGGGAGACCGCCGGCTTGCGCCCATGCCAAGCCTCAGACGCGCCCCGCCGTCGAAGCGCCTTTGGTAGGCGAAGCGGTTGAGGATGTAGACGGCCGTCACCACCGCCTCTCCCGTAAGACCGGCATCCCCCTCGCTTGAGGAGGGCCCGAGCCATCCCCACAACCGTCTGGTTGCGCCGCTCGACGACGCCGTTCTGCTGCGGCGGGTCAGACGGCGCGCGGAGTAGTGGCAATGAATGCCCTCGTCGGTAGTGACGACGCAGCGCAAATTCAGCCCGCCGTCGGTCGGTCTTGCGCGACGCGCGACTGCGATCGCGACTCGCCTCGCGCAGCAACTGCTTGGCGCGATGATGGCGCCCGCGACCTCTCCCTTGTCGCCGAGGACCATCACCCACATGTAGCGGGAGAGGTCGTCGATGAGCAGCAGGAAGTAGCGTCGTCCTCCCGGTGTGGCCGGTGTCACCGGGCCACACAAGTCCCCGTGCACAAGCTCGAGCCTCTCCTTGGCTCGAAAGCTCGCCCGCTGGGGAAAGGGGAGTCGCCTCTGCTTCGTCAACACGCAGACGTCGCAGAGCTGCTCCACATGGTCGAGGCACGGCAGACCTCGCACCATCTCCGTGGCACTGAGCCGCTTCAGGGCCTCAAAGTGAAGGTGCCCGAAACGCTCGTGCCACTGCCACGCCTCGTCGTCCCGACGAAAGCGCGAGAGACAGAGGGTTGTGCACACCGCACGTTAAGGACGTAGAGTCGATTTGCGCTTCTGGATACCTTGGCAAGAAGGCAACGACGACGGTCCCAAATCATGACTCCGTCCTCAACCACCACGCGCGAACCGTTCTCATCCAGCTGTCCCAAGCTGATGATGGAGTTCCTCAACGCGGGGATGTAATAGACTCCGGTGAGCAGCCTGTGCTCACCAGACACGGCGGTGAAGATGACGGAGCCGACGCCCTTGATCTCCACGCCGGAGGCATCCCCAAACTTGACGGAGCCTCGGACGCTAAAGTCAAGCTCGGTGAAGAACTCCCGTCGATCGGTCATGTGGTGGGTGGCACCGGTGTCGAGGCACCACCCGTCAGTCTTGTCGTCGCTGGAGCCGTCGCCGAGGAGGGCGTGTGCTTTTGGCTCGTCAAGGTGGAGGAGGGCGGCGGCGGCGGTTACCGGAGGTAGCTCGATGCTTGCATGTGCCATGAACAGAGCCGGCTCCTCACTTTGTCAGGCGACGTGGGCCTAGCAGCGTCGTGGTTGTCGGCGATCCTTGGCCCAATGGCAAAGGCGCGCGATTGCGGTATGGCGTCGTCTCGTGCTGCTGCCGCGGCGGGCGCAGCACCTGGCGCCTCGCGGGCATCACCCTCAAGACGTCCTCGCGCGCCTGGCTCGGGCGTCTGCGCGCTTTGCGTGGCTTGCCACGCTGCGATCACTGCGTTGCGGAAGAAGGCTCCCCTTCTTCCGGTCACCTTGGTTGGCAAGCCACCGCTCTCGAGTGAGAAGGAGCTTCGCCCCGGTGGTGATGGGCCCCGAGAGAGGCGTGGCTCATCATTGTCGGCGACCTTGAGGCGACCTATCGTCTCCTCGATCGACATCGTGGAGAGATCCGATGAGGGACTCGATCGAGCGAGCCATCCGCTTGTACTTTTTGGGGACGCGCAATGAAAGAGCTTTTCGGCGACTCTCTCCTCGCCGTAGGTGTCATCGCCGAATCGCACCATCTTTCGCAATGAGTGTTGAGACGGAGAGCAAAGTCATCAACGCCCTCACCGGCTTGAAGGCGAGTTCTCCCACTCCCTGCGGCGCTGCGGTGTGGACTTCTTGGCGCGCGATCGCTGCCGATCGCGTGCGCAGCTATGGCGTCCCAAGCCTCCTTGGCGGTCCGCTTGTTGGTAAGCGAAGCGCATCTCGGCGGGGCTGCAGCGCCGATGATGAGGGCATCGGCGCCGTACCGTCGATCTAGGTCGAGTCGACGTCGCCGTGTCGGATCGCTTCCACATGTGCCGCACTGGAGCTTTACCCTCATCACCGCAGCCCACTCGGCGTAGTTGGTCTTAGTGTGGGTAGGCCACCCACCGCCGGGACCGACGTCCCCGACAACGACACTGGAGCCCGTGGTAACCATGGTACCGATCCGGGAGAAAGAGCCACGTTGCTCTGTGAAGGCCGCGCTCTCCATCGACTGCCCGCCACCGTTTCTTTGCGGCGCGCTCCTCCGAGCGCGCGCCGTCGCCGCAGCGTCCGCGCTATGCCGTTTGCCGCCGGCGGCGTGGGCGCGTTGTGCTGCCCAGAGCGCCACCGCCGCGGCGCGCCTCCTCAGAGCGCCGCCAGTAGCGTCCGCGCTCTGCAGGCTGCCGCCACGCTCGTGGCGTCTTGCGTCGCCTTCATCGCCGCCCGCGCACAGCGCCTCCCTCTCTAGCAGCTCGAGGTCCGCGTCGCGGTGTCGTCAGCGAAACGAGCTCTGATCTTTGCCGCTGAGGCCTCGACCGACCGCCGCGCTTGCCGCTTCCGCCGCTCGCTTGCTTTGCCGCCGGCTCGCTTGTTGGCGCTCCGCGACGCTTGCTGCGCCAAGCGGTCTCTGCCGTTGCTCGCCGCGTTCTCTGCGGCGGCAAGTTTGGCCTCTGCCGACACCCGCGTGCTCGAGGCGATCGAAGGCCGAGATCGCCTGCAGACATGACGCGCCTGCTGGGGGGCTGCTGCGTGGGGAGAGGGCTGCTGCCAGACGAGTTGCTCTGCGTCTGCTGGGAGGAGTGAGCAGAGGAGCGGAGGCTTGCCGCTCGCACTGGGCTGTTGTGTGGTGGGAGAGAGATGAGCAGGAGATGCTCGGAGCTCTGAGGATAGTACGGCTCGATACTCAGGTTGTTAGTCGTTGAACTCTCACTCTCTCGGTAGTAGCAGAATTCTTACTCTCATTGGGAGAGGATGACACTAGGAGTTGGGACAATTTTCTGGTTTATTTCTCACACAAACTCACACAAATGCCATGCCAACCCGAGAGGTTGGTGATACATATTTATAGGTTGCTAGCCAGCCAAGCATATGCCAATATGCTAGTCTAAGATGCTAGTCTAAGTTGCTGTCCTCTAGATGCTAGTCTAAGATGCTGGCCTAGATGCTGTCCTCTAGTCTAAGATGCTGTCCTATGATGTCTTAAAACACACCATGCAGCCACAAAGACCATGTGACCAGCACAGCCCCACAAAGACCAACACATGAGACTTATCCCATCAAAGTGCCCTATAGTATTCTCAGATGACTCATTGTATCTCGAATGCAGGACACTCAGACAAGGAGAAATCAAGGCGCCATTCATCACGAGGTATGTTATATTCTCACAGCGGGCTCTGTTGATGGCCCCAAGCTGTTCTATTCAGGACTTGTGTTTCTTATGTTGCTTTCGTGTTACGATTTCAGACCGGGTTGACTACTACAATTCGCATTCATCTGGTGAAAAAGATCGGCACAGGCACCATTGATCAAGGTGAGGAAGATCCCGGTCTGCAGGGCTTCGCTGAATGGAGACCACCACTTGGAAGTGCCGACTGAATCATGAAAACTTGTGGATTATCATCCCACTGGTGGTTGCATTGGCTTCATTGTTTATGCACCTTGGATTTTGTAACTTGCAAGATAAGCTAGCTATAGAGCGCTGTGAGCAATTTGAATCCGTAGAAACTTAAACAAAGGATATAAGATACAATTGGCGCACGTGCACACTGAACTGCCATTCCAGCAGAGCTTGTGGAATGTTATAAAAAAACAGAGCATGTGGAATGTTTGTGCCGTCATGGTAAACGTTTGTGCTGATGTGGCCATGGTACATACACACAGCTTATTGAGGTTGGCGAGCCAACTGTTAAACATGTTCTCATATGGGGAGCATCAGGTCCTTGTGCGACTTGTTTGTGATTGCAAATAATTCTATAGGAGATCTCATGCCCAGAATGTGAAAAATATTATGAATCTGACGATCAAATTGAGGTGATTTTGATCATACTGTTGATCTGTCACCATCGGTTTTGACACACAGAATGTAACGAGTAATTAAGTATAAACTTAGAAACTAACTATTATTGTATCATTACAATAGCAGTGTACGTTTCGATATCTATATTTCACAAAACTAAACATGGAATGGTGTAATGGCAATTCTGTATAATGCAAAAACCTGTACCACTGTACAAATGAAACTGATACGTGGTACCTTCATAGAAAAATCTATATTTATTGACTAGAGGCAGTAAGTCTTTACATTTGTTCTAAACCAAACATGTTTACTTTTGGGCTATGTCTTCAACATATATTTTTAGATTTAAATAATTATATATTTAAATTAATTCAGTAATACCAATCTTACATTGTTAAGATATACAACATTTAAAATACGAACCGTTGAAATTAAATATATTTAACTTATTAGATAATATAAACATATAAAGACCCACATTTTGATATGATGAGTAGTAGTTTTTTTTAATCCCTTTTAAGCCTCTTGTCGCTCCCTAGGGCGTGGCGCTCTCTCTCTCGCTCTCGTTCAATAAAGAGAGGAGATACATCTCTCATTTACAACAAGCCACTAGATCTATTTTGATTAGGTTTAGTCCAAATAAATTTATCAACAAAATTACATAAACTTAAGTTAGAATCTTGTTACGCCCGATGACTTTGGTTGACAAGATCGCCATTGTGTACGTCGATTTCATCGGCAGAATTATCGATTTCATCGTCAATGGTTGTGGAGAGGAGATCAAATAACCAACATGACATAAGGGTCGGAGGTGACGAATCTGCGGTCTCTGTTGTACCAAACGATATAACTGTTAATGTTTTTTTCATCACCGTTCATATGTTTTTGGACTGATTCCGGAACGGTGGATGTTACAATCCATCCATTATTTTGGAGTTGATAGTTGAACAGTGGCGGATCCAGGATACGATGATCCGCCCGGGCTCAAAGCCAACTCACATGGAAGAATTTGCCGTTCCAGGCTGTACTGGAAGCTTTAAAACACACAATCTCATCAGCGTCTTAAGTTTCGCTCAGGCTTCAATTGAACGCTGGGTCCGCTACTGTAGTTGAACCACACTATTCAGCAAGACTCCATGTAGCTAGTGCATGGGCTACATCGAGAAAAAACCGCTAGAGAAGAATCGATGGAAGAATATAAAAAATATTCAGCCCATTTGGCTGATACACAAAACTACTATGTACTAGTTTGTTCCGACTGATTTTGCCTGATTCAATAGTGTTCTGTGAGAGAGAATAAGCTAAAGCTGAGATAAGCCGAGCCGAACACGCTGATTTTCTCATGTGTAGTTTGGCAATGCACTGTGCTAAGTTTTTCGTCGCCTTTGAAAACGTCGTATATATAGAGTCTCTATATTATATATCAACAAAAAAGGAAACAAATTTAAGGCGTCGAATCGTTTTTCGAGGGGTGGCCATGTGCCCATGTGGCATCGAATCTCGGGGCGGCATAACCCGATATGCGGATAGACGGGTGGCACCGCGCGACGCCTCCGCACCACCCACCGAACCGCAACCCAGGAGCCGAAAAAGGAGAAATGCTACGGACCGCCAACGAATTTTTTGGGATCGAAAAACATCTCCGTTCTCCACCACCGCCTTCGCCCCGTCTCCCTCCACACCGCTGCTATCCAGAACTCGGATCGATCTCTCCTCGCGTCGGTAAGGGATCGTTTCTTCGTTTTTGGATTTGGATCCTCGCGCGCGGGAGGAAAAGGGGGTAGCGCAAGAGGGATTCGCGCGAGTACACCTCTGCTAGGGCCTAGGAGGCGCCCCATCAGGAATCCGCGCCATTTGAGAGTGGGAGGGAAAGAGACGAGAGAGGGAAAGAGAAGGCGGCGGCGGAGCACCTGGAACCCGGTGGTAGGGCGGCCTCCATCCACGATTCCGCCCCTTCTCGATTCGCGGCGCCCGTCGTTTCTCCCCTGTTTGCTCTTCCTTCCCCATCCTTCATCTGCTTTGCTCCTTCCGTTGCTCTGCTCTGCTTCTTTGGTCTCTGTCCCTCTCCTTCCTCGTCACTACTCAGGTTGCTCTGTTCTGGGTATAGGGGTATTATATCCTAAGAATTGACAATATTAAGGTATAATTTGCTTCTAAATTCTAGTCTAGTTGCATTATATATATATGATAAGGCTATTCTGCAGCTGGCCATAGAATAACTTATTCTATGCCACCTTAGATTTACGATAATGTTTGTACCAATTTACGATAACATGAATATTCATTTACGATACTCGTGTTACTACAACTAACGGTGGTATTTACCATAATGTTATAGTAAATCATTTAGTAAGGAGTTACTGTAATCTCGTAAATTAGCATGGTAACTATCGTAATTCAAAGTGGCCACATAATAAGTTATTTTATGGCCAGCTGCAGAACAATAGTTAAGATGTTTGTATGGTGTCACCACGCCGCGCGCCTTAAATGCCTAGGCGTTTGGAAGGGCGCTCGCCACACCTCGCCTTAAGAACCTTGGACGTAGTTCATAACTTTCACTGACGCTGACACCATAACGAAATTACCAATTATTGTTATTGTATTTTACCTGAAACCATGAATTCCTTGTTTAATTACTCAAACTTTGTAACCATCTTTGTTGCAGACTGCCAAGATGGATAAGCTCAGTGGTTCTGCACGTCTTATGATTGTTTCAGATCTTGACCATACAATGGTGAGTGTGTCTTCCAACTCATATCTTGGTCTGCCCTAAGCTCTCTGTATGTAAACTCTTGATTCTTTTGGGATGGCTTAAACTTGCAGGTTGATCATCATGACGAGGAGAACTTGTCCTTGCTTAGGTTTGGTGCCCTGTGGGAATCTGTTTACTGCGAGGATTCTCTACTTGTCTTCTCGACTGGAAGATCACCAACTCTTTACAAGGAATTGAGGAAAGAGAAGCCTATGCTAACTCCAGACATCACTATCATGTCTGTTGGCACTGAGATAACATATGGGGAGGCAATGGTTCCTGATGATGGCTGGGAAGAATATCTGAACAATAAGTGGGACAGAAATATTGTTGTAGAAGAAACTGCAAGCTTTTCTGAGCTGAAGCTTCAGGTTTGTTCTGCTGCATGCATGGCTGGTGTCTTCATCTCTATTCATTTTGGTTGGAATTAGTACTGCTTTGCTTTTTTACATTTGCATGGATACAGCCAGAGACAGAACAGCGCTCGCACAAGGTCAGCTTTTTTGTTGATAAGAAGAATGCCCAGGAAGTGATAAAATCTGTTGCTGAGAGGTTGGACAAACGTGGGGTGAGGCAGCATGCATCTTATATTGTTGTGATTTGGTTTTGGATAATTTCCTCTATGTATGTTGAGACACATTATGGTTGACTGCTTTATTTCTTGTGAACAGCTAGATGCCAAAATAATATATAGTGGTGGCCAGGACCTTGATATATTACCTCAAGGAGCTGGAAAGGGCCAAGCACTTGCATATTTGCTTAAAAAGCTAAGCTCATGTGGAAAACCACCCAACAATACTCTTGTTTGTGGCGACTCTGGTAATGATGCAGAGTTGTTCAGCATCCCTGGTGTACATGGTGTCATGGTCAGTGAATAATACGTTGCATGAAGTATCTAACAAAGTTAATGCTTGAATAGTTACTGCAACTCCAAAATTTTCAAATGCTCAGGTCAGCAATGCCCAAGAGGAACTACTTCAGTGGTACACGGAAAATGCAAAGGATAACCCGAAGATAATTCATGCAAATGAGAGATGCGCAGCTGGTATTATACAAGCTATTGGTCACTTCAAGCTAGGACCTAACATTTCTCCTAGAGACGTGGAGTTCCCTTATGCAAAGGAAGCCTCTTTCAAACCTACAGATTCTGTAGTAAAGATCTATGTTCTCTATGAGAAGTGGCGCAGGGCTGAGGTTCCAAAGTCTGATTCAGTTATAAAGTACTTCAAAAACATCACTGTAAGTACATAGCTTTCCAGTTTGATTTTTCTTTGTTAAGTACCTTCTCTCATAATCCTTTCTGTATCATATATGTAGTTTACCTAATGTATGTTATAGTGTAGTGTTTCATCTTGCATTTGTATTATTCTTAAAGCTTGTCAGAACTTTGTATATCAACAAATCGTCAGGAGAGCACGAGTTACTGTTTCATTGATCTCTAAAATCGAATTCTTTCTTATTTATTGTCTATGTTAGCATGCAAATGGAATTATCATCCATCCTGCTGGGCTTGAACTCTCACTCCATGCATCCATTGATGCATTGGGATCATGTTATGGTGACAAACAAGGGAAAAAGTACCGAGCATGGGTGGACAGACTTTTTATCACACAGACTGGTTCAGATAGTTGGGTGGTGAGATTTGACTTGTGGGAATCAGAAGGTAAGTCTTGACTCTTGAATATACACAGAACAACCTGTTTAGCTTCTTGTGCCATTTTATACAGTTTGTTCCAAACTTCCAGTTTCATGTCATCTTTCTGAACTTTTTTGTTTGGTTATTATTTTTCGTGGTGACTATTTTGTGTTGTTTATAGATTATAGATTATGCCATATGCTGCAGGCTACAACTTGTAGAATATCACCATAACCATTTCACAAGAGAAACTCTTAATATGTGAAGCTGTGAATCTTGATTTATGAAAATGATCAAATTTTCATACAGAACTTTGCAACCAAGCTTTCACTTGTGATTCATTAGTCATGTGCTTATGGGTTCTGCAAATACTAGCCAGTTCATCCAGTTGGGGAAGCACAGATTAAATGGTTGTATACTTAGCTTCTACTATATGCAGCCAGAAAGTGTAGTTAACTGTATATTCTGGATGTAGTGTAGATTTATCCAGGGTGTTTTTTGAATCTCAGCATCAAAGATGAAATTTGATATTGAATTTGTGCTGGTTTATTTAACTTTATGCGTACTACATGATGTTGTTGAAACATTGCAACATGTTGGGTTAACTATGTTCTGGCCAAAGGGAACAGGATACAATTGATTTCTTATTCTTGATAACAATGTTCACAAGAGAATGCGGTCGGTCACTGATACGTTGTATATATGACATGAGGCAAACATTCAATGTCACATAAGAATATTGAAGCAGGTTTAAATGTCTTTATTTCATTAGTCAGAAGTATCATGTGTTGCTCCACATTGGAGAGTAGCATGAATAAATAGACAAAAGTTCATAGAGAAGGGATGTTCTTGTTTTCCCTTGGGATGAGGCGAGGGTGTGCATGCAACTGTTCTGTTGATTGCTTGGTCAGCTGAGGATGTGAAAGAGATCATTAATTTAAAATACTGATTTAATTGTTTTGAGAGCTCTTGGTTTTCCTCAGTGTCCTTCATGTACCCTTAGTAAACATGTTCTATAATTTTATGGCTTTGGTTCATATGCACGTAACCATGTGATGTATCAGTTACATTATTATGCCTTGTTCTCTGGTTCTGTTCAATTTAGGACATAACTAATGTCCCTTTCAACGGTCTGCTTATATTTTGCTTCCATCTATTATTCAGAGCTTTCCACAAATACCCATTTCATTCTCTTTGTTGGCAATTAATTTTGACTTGAATATGTAATTCCCCTCTACTTTCAGGTGATGTGCGTGTGTGCTCTCTGTCAAGTCTTGCTTTGGTTCTAAAGGTATATCATCCTCTTTGTTTTGACACATCTGTAGTTCTATACAGGTTGCGTTTTGTGAAAGATATGGAGCTCATAGAACAGCGGTTTGCCTATGCTAACTCTGTATTTCTTATGCCAGGCTGAATCCCCAGAGGGCTTTGTGCTAACCCACATCCAAAAGACATGGCTGAACGGATACTCTTCAGGGGTTGAGCAGGCGTCTAAGCTGTAGAGCAATATATCGTCTCCTCTCGCGATTGGAGTTTTCTTGATGATAGAATAGAATAATGTAGCTACTTCATCTGAGAAAAACTTTTCTTTTCTCCTGTTTATAGTTTTAACTTCCCAAAACCGCACTGGAGGATCTCCAGGGAGAGGAATTGGTGCCTTCTTATTTGGTGCGTAAGATAAATGTTCTATCTCATGGCTTTCATGAGAAGATGAAATCGATTCATCTTGGTATATATTTACAAATCTTGTTGAATAATGCAGTGTTATCTATATCCAGGGATGGCAATGGGCCTACCCTATATCCAGGGAATGTGTTTTTACCTCATTAGGGTATGTGAGTGTGGGTTAATTTACTTACCCATAGATATTTTAATGGAGAAAATTCTTACCCATTAGGTTGGTGGGAACGAATATACAGTATTCTGCACTATCCGAACCCTTAAATCTATGGTGATGTATATGCCCGATATGCAAATATAATTTAAAGCCATCCCCAATCTAATGTACTGTTCCAAAATGTGGTCCAACTAGCAAACCTTGTGCCATATAAGGAGGTGCATATATAGTATTTTTTGTTATATTTCTGTTGTTCTATTATTTGCTCATATAATCTTAGTTCAATACTTTGTTATTTTTTTTTCTCGGATACAGATAATCCATGGGTATCCAATTCCCGCATGGGCATAAGTATAGACATGAAATCACACGAACATATGGGTAATGGATTTAGGTAGATAATACCTATGAGTATAAACACCTTGTGATGTACCTCATATTCTTATGGCTACCGCAATGCTAGGCAGCCTGTAGAATTACAAAAGACGTTGCTACCTTCTGGCTGTAGCACACGACGGCCAGTGAAACAAAATCGGGTAAATGACCACGGCAGAACTCATTTGCCGAGTAGCCAAAAGTCAAACAAACCTAATTAAGAGTGGACTGGGGAGGAAGTTGCTGCTGATGTGCTAAACCTGATGTGCGATCTGAGGAAGTCGGAGATGAAGGAGCCGGCACGGCAGGTGACTGGGAGTGCTGGTTGGAAAGCTCCACCGCCTGGACAGTTCAAGATCAATTCGGATGGATCATTTATCCAGGAGACGATGCAAGGGAGCTGGGGCTTTGTCCGTGACCATGAGGGCGACGGGGTGCTTGCAGGAGCTGGTCGCCTGGGATCAATCCCGGACGCGATGACGGCTGAGGCAGCAGCATGTGCTCAGGCATTGCAAGCGGCTGCAGATTATGGTATATCGCACGTACAAGTGGAGGTGGACTCAACAGCTCTCCAACAAGCTCTCCAATCATCCTCCATGGATCTTGCCACTTGTGGAATGTTGCTCAGTGACACTCGTTCTTTGCTTTGTGAGCATTTTGTATGCAGTAAAATTCTCTCTATTCCTAGAGCTTGTAATGGATTAGCACATAACTTAGCCAAGCTTGCTATGAGTTGGGACCCGAGCAATTGCCATGTTTGGGCAAGCCCCCTCCCAGAATTTGTAAAGACTTTGATTGCTCGCGATGGGGTCGAGCATATGTTTTCAATGACAAGGCCATAGAGCCAGGTTATGAATAATAAAAAAAAAGAGTGTAGATAGGACAGTTTTCATGTAAGAGCATCTCCAACAGTATAATTTTTATAGAGTTGATAGTGGTGGCTGCTTGGTGTAATTGGACAACGCGAAATGGTATCATCTTTGAGGGCAAGTTTCTGTCTTTGTGGCGTTGGAAGTCTTCACTTCGTGAAAAGCTCTCTTACTATTCTTAGGTACAAGTCCTTGAAGAAACCTCTTCTCAAGGACGGGCTTCTTTTGTTCTAATTCGTTTTGTACATCTTGTTTTTCTTCTTTTGTATAGACTTATATATTTATAAAATCAGCTCAGTAGGGGTGTTTCCCTCTGTTTTTCTTAAAAAATCTAGCGCGTAGAGAGGTAACGGTTGATGATGAAGATAAGACAATAATTCTTTTGTGCTCTTTACTACCATCTTATGAGCATTTGGTTATTACACTGACATATGGCAAGTAAACAATCAAGACTGAGGACATTATTTTAGCGTTGCTTGCCCAGGAACAGAGGGGGAAGAACAATATACAATGAAAACACCGCAAGTTGGAGGTTTGCTGGTCAGTGGTGAGTCCAACAGGTGGAAGGTGGAGACCAAGCGCAAGAGAAAGAAGAAGGTGCGGTGTTTATGGAGATTGGGGACATGTGAAGACGGAGTGTCTAGGGAAGGAGGCATGTGCTAATATTGCAGCATCAGTTGGTGACTCAGAAGATGACAACAACCTTCTCTAGGCATTAGAGTGGATGGGCATTTGCAGCTGTACAAACTGCAAGAGTGCACTGTTGTAGGTGGAGTCACTGGGATGGAGTTGCAAAGGTATTCGTGAAGCGACAAAGTCGACAACTCAAGTCCAGAGTATATGGTTGTTCGCGCATGACAAGACTTCAAGGTGGCAAAATATTCGTCAAGATGGAGATTGTTAGAAATATGCCAAATATTTATGTGTACTAATATAATAGGGTTACAATGGACTTGTCTTATAATTAGCAGTAGAGGGTGGTGAGCTAGGTGTTAGCTCTTGTAACTCGGCCCCTCTATAAAACGAGGAGGGGGTTGCATTTGTAACCCAAAAAGCCACGAGTGAGAAGCAACACAAGGTGATAGGCAACAAGAGGTGCTGGCGATTTTGGCCACCGTCCCTGGGCGGCCGGTGTCACGGTTTCGGGGAGGAGCGCCCTAAGTATTGCCCTTGGGACATAGGCTTTGATCGAACCTCGTTACTGAATATTGAGCCTCTAGTGTGCTGTCTTATCTCTCGTGAACATCTCGCCTAAGTAGATCTAAACAATCGCTTTCGCGTTAGGCATAGGTATCACAACATATTTACTTTTATAAATTTATAAATAACGTGTATATATATACCCTGCTCATATGAGCATCATATCTCCGAGAGAGTGGAGAGATGGATACTTCTTTGGAGTACTGTGGTCATCCTAGCAAAGTAGCAAACATCACTACTATTGCCGCAGTTTTACTAGTATTTTTGTGTCATTTATTTCATAGCTTGAGAAGACAAATTATTAGTTGTCTCATAGTTCTGTTGGTACTGATATCCAGCCTGCTGACACCAACATGTAGTCTCTCGCTCGCCGGCGCCCGTCGCCAGAGAGGAAGACGATGACCTGGAATCCGATCAAACGAACGCGAACCATGTGGAACACAAGAGAGGTTTTGGTGCCGCTAACCAACGCAGCTTTTCTGACTCTTTGTTGAAGCTTAAATACACAAAGTACAATGCGGAATTGTAGCCATGGTCGGCCACGACGCTGCGACCTCCGCACTCCCCGACTTAGCCGCGCCATCCCACGGCTGAGAGCTCGAGCGATCGCCACCACTCCTACGACCGAAAGAAAAGGAAACAGTAACACCCCGCATGAACGCAGCATGCGTCAGGCCACTACAGACGCGCCCGATTCGGCTAGGGTCGAGCCCAAATTATTTACTACATAGCCGGAGAAGATAAACAGTGAACTGGGCTAGGATTATATATCCAACACAACATGCATTTATAGCATGCGCTTCTTGGCGATGGCTTTTAGTGGAGTAGCCATAGATATCACAATTCCAGATTTCTCTGTCATATCAATACCATTTTGCATGGCCTCTTCAGGAAGTGTCCAATCGAAGTGGTGCAGCAGCGACGCGAGAATCAAATGGACCGTTCGATAGGCCAGCGGCATGCCGAGGCATATGCGGCGCCCGCCACCAAACGGAATCAGCTTACAGTCCTTCCTGGAGAAATCAGCAGTAGTATTGTTTCCGTCGCCCATGAACCTCTCAGGCCTGAATTTATGTGGATCAGGCCATACGTCAGCGTTCCTGTGAACTGCCCATATGTTGAGTATTATGGTGATTCCTTGAGGAATGGTGTATCTTTGGACTCCTACTGTGGCCTCTGCCCGATAAAATGTCATCGCCACCACAGGGTAGAGTCGAAGCACTTCTTTCACAACAGCTTGAAGGTATGGAAGCTGGGCGATATCAGATTCCTGGACCTGTGCTCTTGTGCCAACAGCTCTCGTGAGCTCCCTCTTCACCTTCTCCATCACTTCTGGGTTCTCTAGTAAAGAGGCCATTGCCCACTCAACCGTAGTTGAGCTTGTATCTGATCCAGCAAAAAGCATGTCCTGTGATGCATTTAGTCAATTAGTGGATAGATATCAGTTCTGTCTAGGTGGAGGCGCGCGTTATCACACATTGTCTAGCTACATACTTAATTACATACACACAAAGAAAATAATTAACAACTGAATAATATGGTCGATTATTAACAATGATAAAACAATGCTTTGGATTATTATAGCCTAAAACTTGTTGCTTAATACAACGCGAATAGTACGTACTACATTTGCTAACAAATTATATAATTAGTATAGCTTTTTTCCCCTATATATGGCTTTTCATAGACTTTTGTGATCATTTGTAAACACGGATAGTTAAAAATAATTTAATAACTTTGACGATCATTTGCATGCTCCAAACAATATATTACGGGAAAAAGTTCATGTAACGTTATATTTTAAGAAAATCACCTAATATTAAAAAGCCAAAATTTCAGTTAACTTTTTTCATCCATCTTCCCCTAACTCTGCGAAGGTGGAAGTTGTCTCTCTCTCTTAGTTTACAGCCCTCCCATTTTATATGACATGAGATAACCTATCTTAATTCTAATAGATCTCTCCCATTTTATATGACATGAGATAACCTATCTTAATTCTAATAGATCTCTCCGATCATAAGTAACTTAAATAGGAAATCTAATGTATATCTATATGTTTAGAGCATCTCCAAGAGTTCCCAATAAAGCATCCCAACCTATGATTTTTAGCAAGAATAGAAAAAAAATCCATCTCCAAGGGTTCCCAATCTCACCTCTAAATGTTTTGACACTTGGAAAAAATCACTGAGCGCGCACATATATCCGCGCGTCTTCTATGCGTGTATCGGTCTACCAATCTAGGGTGGAAGGATGTGGGAAAGAATAAAAGTAAGAAATGGTTCCTGATGCAAATGTATAAGAAAGAAAGAATATATAAAAGTAGCTAGGATAATTCAGAAATACTATATGATTGCTGATGTAAAATGATCTTCTATATTTTAGGAGTGAATTTTATTGAAATTAATAAATTTGCATCGTAACTCATGTGAGAATGACCACGACCTTGCTTCGAAGTGGGACAGATGAGAGGATTTTTTAACACGAGAGATTTTTTTTAACCTCGACGAGGAGACTTTTTTAACCCTAACATGAAAATTCAGAAGACCTGAGAAATGCTACTCAAGCAGCTAACTAACTCAGTTGGAGGCCTTTTTTCCAGGCACATCCAAAACTTATTAGAGTGATTCCAAACTCGCGCAAACTATTTAACAAGTATAGAGACTAGAAAGCAAGAGCTTCATCTGCAATTAGGCAATTACAGTAATAACTCAAAGAGCGAGACAACATCATATGAGAGAGCTTGACTTTACTTTTCCTAGTAATACACTTTACTAGCACACATATCCGTTCGTTGCAACAGAATCTAATACGTATAGGAATTGGACTCGGTATCATCGGTAGACGTGATTTGTTCTAGGTGTAGTGAAAACAGAGAGGAAGCATATGCTAAACGTGAGAAAAGAAATGGACTCGTGGAAGCCAACCAAAACCGGACTCACGAAATTGGACTCAGTAACAGACTCGCGGAATCCAATCTAGCGGACTCACACGAAAAAAAAAAACAAACAGACTCATGAAAAGCAAAGCAGATACCGGACTCTGGAGCAGGCTCACCATGTAAGCAAACTAGAACAGGACTCAGGAAAGTAGCGTCTCCGAGAAATAAGTATAAAATCTAAGCAAATTTAACGGACTATTATAAATATATTTATCATCTGATCAACCGTACTCCGTACGAGAATAACAAAATTCTTCTTATTTTTTACTGTATATTCATTGTAATTAGCAGCAATCAAACTTGTGTCAGTCAGATAATTAATTAACCATTTCTGTCACACTGCATACTACAAAACGTAGTACGCCGTATGTATGATGTATTCAGAACGTCCGGGGCAGATTTCGTGCGTGCGTACCGTGAACAGTCCTTTGATTGTTGAACGATTGATGATGGCGCCCTCCTGCTGCCATTCACGTTCCTTGTCAAGCACCGCGTCTAGCATATCCTTCTTGGGTGGCTCGCAAGCTTCCCGCTCGAGCTGCCGCTGCGCAAAAAGCTCGTCTAACAGTTGATGGGAATGCGCGACGAGCGGTGCCATCTTGCGGCGCAGACCCTGCAGGTCGGCAGCCGCGATCGCCGGGAAGAAGTCCGACACGTTTGGCGTCCCGCCCAAAACCCTGGCCTCCTTCACCGCGTCGCCGAGCCCACGGCCAAGTGGCGGTGACCCTGAGCCGAGCAGGTCGACGGAGAACATGGTGCCGGACACGATGTTCATGGCCGCGGCGAACAACGGATCACGGACGGCGATGGGCTCGCCGAGCGCCGCCTGCTCGGAGACGTAGCGCAGCAGCTCCTGCACCTTGTGCTGCCGCAGCGGCTGCAGCGCGTTCAGCCGGCTCGGCGCGAACAGCTCCGCCGTGCAGAGCTTCCGCAGCGCGCGCCACTTGGCGTGCGGCGGGAGTGCGGTGACGGAGTGGCGGTCAGCCAGGTCCGCGTTGTGCTTGTGGAGGATCTCGCGCGCGGCGTCCGCCGAGGAGACCAGCACCGCGGGCACCGCGCCAAGCCGTAGCGACATGAGCGGGCCGTAGCGCTCGGCGAGGCGGGCCAGAGAACGCTCGGGGCTGCCCCGTCCAACGGCCAGGAGGTTACCGACGACCGGCAGTGGCAAGGGGCCAGGGGGCAGACGGCGGCGAGCGTCTGCGATCCGCTGGAAGGCGTACATAGAGATGATGATGAGGCACAAGGCCAACCCTACTGCTACCACCAGCTGGGATGCCATCGGATTGGATACCAAGCTGAGCTGGTTGTTGATCATGCCATGCCATGCGCGCTCCGATCCGTCCTCCCGGCCGTCTATTTATACACCCACTGAGCTAGAACTGAGCTAATTAATAAAATGCTAATTTTTTTCAGCTTCATTTTATTTCTATCTTTACATACGTAACCAAATTCTGAAAAGAGGAGATGTATAGGCGACAACCGGTTATATTTAGTCTTTTCGACGACCAGATTTTTCTCTTACATTTACACGGTCATATACCTATATTTACACTGTCATATTACTATATTTACAATGATCTCTTCAGTATAATTTATAGGACAGAGTGACGTAATTTGAGAATAGCACAAATATATGCTAATTTTTTCATAAAAAATATAAATCATTTCTATAGATTGCAGACATCAGATAAATATGTCAAATTATTCACGAATCCCAAATATCAGATACAAACCCGAGTAACCCTACGTGACATGCTCCCCAGTCACCTGGATCGTCTGCGCCGGTGCACGCGCCCGCACAGCCACTGCTTGGCTGCACCTGGCGCAGAGGATCCTGGGGAGTGAGGACCACGCACAGGGAGTGCAGGGAGTGTTGATCCACAGTTAGCCTTCCGACCACCGAGATGGCCTCCAGACCACTCCGTTGGTCTCACAGGATCACCGGCTCACGACAGTGAACCACTCCAGCTGATCTTGCCGAGCACCGGCTCAGGCGAGTGGAGCACTTGACGGTCTCGCCGAGCACGCGCTAGTGTTGCCGAGCACCCACTAGCCGTGCAGACCACGTACCGGCGTTGTCCGTACCCACACACTACGGACGAGCTTAGAAGAAGAAGGGAGAATAGAGCAAGCACGCACAAAACAAGACAACAGCGTTGGCCGAGGTCCTGTCTGTGTGATGGCAAATCTGAGCTCTCTTTACTGAGTTGCCATACATGTCTATTTATACAACTCTAACTATCTAGTCCATGTGCAGCGCCTATGCTGGCATAGTAACTAGATAACCTGACAGGGCTGACTCTGCGCCGGCCACTGCCTGTTCCTACAGTGCTGCAGGTGAGCCGTGCGGCGTCTGCACCTGCAGCGGCTACTGTATCACAGCAGGGGCAAAGTCAGCGCCGTCTTCCCTTACTGTGTTCACACACAGCAGGCGGCTAAGTCGGCGCCGCCTTCCTCTGCTGTGTTTATACAAGGTGGCAGTAGATTAGCTAACAGGGAGAACCACGCAAAGGTGACAGGACCACGCATCGACGGAGCCAGACACATCCAGATCGGACGGACCAAACGCGCCACATGCCAGATCCAATGGACAGAAATCCGGTTGTTACAATATCGCAATTCTCAATGAAAAACCGGTCGGTTGCAATATCGCAATTCTGAATGAAAAAGATTCTTCGAGTCACGAGTCCGAGCATACTGGTAGCCCTTAAAACAACCTCGCGGAGTACTCCCTCTCTTAAAAAAACACGTAAACGTAGATAGAGATGACCTTTTTCAATACGACCTATTAATTAAAAATATCTTTATATGACTAAAAGTTATCATTAAAGAACATTCCAGAAACAACCACATCTAGGATGAGAGAGGAGTGCAGTTGAGTAGTGGGCCATCAAGCCTGATTTAACGCAGCCTAGCCTAGTCGTCCAGTCCACAGATAGATCAACGGCTACCACAGCTGTACATCACGACTGCATAGAATCCCCCCCTCCCCCCCTTTGAGAAGAGGCGTTCCTGCAGCACCTTCGACGCCCTCAAAGCCTCCGTACAACACCACATGGCTAATCCGGAGCATCCTGAAACGCCTCCATTGCGCGCGGGCTCAAAGCCTATGCATGAAATTTTTTGGGTCCATACCTACGGTGTACCTGATGAAGATAGGTTTTTTAATTTGGAGCTGATGAGAGTCCCCGCACGTACAAGTATGATGTCCTTCTGTTGTGATATGGTACTTTTTTGTGAATAATGCTTGATAGCTGAAATGTCACAATGACATGTACAAGTTGGTCAGATATGATTTTCAGGGGCGGTTAATGAATATTTGTAGGGGCGATTCGGCCAGCTGCCCCTACCATATCGACTCTATAAATCATACAATTTATAGGGGCGGTTCCTAGATCACTCTTACAAATCGATTTATAGGGACGACTATAGTACCAACCGCCCCTATAGTGTATTTTTTCGTCAAAAAAAAATTCAAATTACCAACACGTGCTCCCCCAAATCATCTTGTGACGAGTAAAATACATAATCAAATATCCTGACAAACTTGATTGTAATATTGTGGCACAAACAAGATTGTTTAGCCAAAAGTTTCTAAACATCTTCTATAGTACAAGAATCACAATAATAACAAACAAACTCATATTATGACAACAAAACATATATCTATATCAAAAAAAGACAAAGCAAGCATGGTGCATTGAAATGTGTAGATGGCAGCAGCTGCTAGCATAGACGGGCAGAACTGGAGCATCTCGTATTCGACAAGACTTAGCTCGATCATGAAGAAAGACAGGAGTTCGAGTTGTCCAGTAGTATAAAGATTTTGTCAGGGTTTATGTACTTGTACAGTAAACCTATAGCTTACATGATTTATTGATCACAAAAACAGGAGTATGTATTAGTATCTTACCTTCTTCTCAGACTATGCTGCCTTTAGAAACCTTCTCATGAAACAGTATGGAGTCGGCACCGACATATTGAAATTAAGTGTGTTCACTATCCTCCTCTCCTGCAGAGATTTCAATGGCAGTTATCTGACTTGAAAGTCGAGGAAGATAAAAGCTATCATAAATGTATCTGACTTGAAAGTTGAAAACACAACAATGCATCAACATCGATGCAATTGAACACCTAGAAAACGGGTTAGATCTGTGTTTTTACTTCAAGATGAAGAATAATATATTATGCCTGTTTGGAGCAAAACATAGTTCTTTCATAGGAATAGGCAAAATTCCTTTGGAGTCCATTCTGTTTCCTCCAAATTGGAATAACTCCATTCCAAACAGCATGCATTGACCAACAAAGATGCACCTTTTTCAAGTGCGATTCCTAACCTAGAGTCTAGACCATAATAATGGTCAATAGATGCTATTTCACAATAAACTCCTCACGAGGTTAACCTTCCTTTCATCTTGTTACGGTTAACTAAACAAGCTCACAGACCATAATTGCACAGAAACGAGAAAATACTTACAGAAATGCTTGCTTAATGCATCTAAGCTAACTTGGAAGAAATTGTACGAACAAGTAGAAGTCTTACCTTCCTCCAGGTCTGATGAACGAATCCCACATTCTACGGACCTACAACAGAGACAATATAAAGACAAGTTGATTGAGTAGGTATATTAAGTAATTGCCCATGCCATGAAGTGAAAATTATCAGGTTATTTGTTAGGTTACGAAGCCTAGTTTGTATTTCTCTGATTTACACTGCCTTATATACGATTCATAATAAATAAGAAAAGGCTTGCCCAAAGTTCTGAAGTTAGCATAATTACCTCAATGAGTGTCCCCATGTCATAGCTACTTCCATGATAATAATGGTAGAACTCAAAAGGCAGACTGCTTACAGGGTCATGATGTTCATGCCCTTTTCCCTCAAATCTATGGCCTTCATCTTCATGTTCAGTTTTCTGGCTTGCCTGGTCATTTCTCTCATTTATCCCGCCATCTCCCAGGTCCCTGTCTTCAGATGGTCCACTAGGTTGTTCAGAACCACCTTCTTGAGAATTGGCATTCTGTGGAGGCTTCCTTGATTTCTCAGCAGTCAGAATAGCATCCTTAACAGCATCAGTTCGAGCAGCAGATGCAGCTTGGCGCTCCTCTTCCTCGACTGCAGCCTTAACACGCTCAAGGTATTTATCATCCTCTTCAGGAAGAAAATGACCTAAAACATTTAACATAAAAAGAAACTCATATATCCATCTCTTGTATTTACACTGAACAAAATAAAAAAGGGAAAATCAACACCACCAACGGAAAAAGAAAAGTTTGCAGTCTTGCAGAGACAGGAGCCCTCTGTGATTCCAAAAAGTTTGTGCTAGTGGGATCATACACAGGTAGGAGCAGATTTGTATTGCCAAATGGATATGACATCCTCTTCTCTTAAAAAGAGAAAAGGATCATTACAGGCATATGTGCTTCAGCGGTTCAGCCTTCAGCATGCAAAATGCCAGAATATGAATAACATAGTATTTAAGGTCAGAAAAACACAATGATAACCCATCTCTTCACTTTAGTAAAAGTCCATCATGGGAATTGTTGTTTCACTGTGTAAGTCAACTAGGAAAATAAAGTCTAGTCAGTAGGCACCATAATTTTTCCTGCCACTGCCCATGCTTTCAAGGCACAATAATAACATGAATGATTAAGTACTAATATATTTATTAACTAAATACAAAATAATCCAATTATTAATTATTTTCTAGATAATACAACTCATTCATGTACAGAACATATTTTGTAAAACAGAGAATGTAAATAAATAAATAGGAAAATAAGAATATCTTACCTTGTTTCTTCATTTTTTGAACTCTTATAGACCGAAGCTCCTGGAGTTTCTCGACCATTAGGGCAAGCTCCAGCTGGAAGTACCAGATTTCAAATTGCCAATTGGGAAAATTATCTTATTCAGGATAAAGAATATTATGATGATACTATTAACTCAAAAACGTCCACAGAATCATTAGTAGATTAAAGTATAAAGAAATTCGAATGACTACTCAATTCTTCATGAACTGATTGCAAGATAGCTCTCTCTAAAAAACCAAGAAAATAGGTGAATGATATCCCTGAAGATTGCTTGCACTAAGACAAGTATAGAGATCAGAGGGTTTCTAGAGTAATAAGAAAATTAGATAAAGGTCTAAATTCTGAATGTGAATGTGCATTTATTTTGTGTCAAACTATATGTCGATAGTATAATGTGGGTCCCTGCACCTCTATTTTATATGGGATAGAATCGAACTTGAACAGCACTAGTTCATTCACTCTTGTTCCTGCACGGGCAATAATAATTTAAAGAGAGATAACTATATTGGAAACCCATCATGAATTTTGTTATCCATTAATAAAAAATTCTTATCTTGGCTTATTTGTTCATATTCTAATACCGATACTCATGATTAGTCTAGTTGTGACATACTCAATATACTAATGACTCTGTACAATTTTCCATCATAATTCAGAACTGTCACCTATGGCATTACACCTCCATATGTGTTTGACATGTGTTTAATTGGTACTCTCCTTCATGCAATAGTTTAGACTTAGGGTTACTTAGGCTAATGGCGAACGTAGCTTATTAACGACATAGGAGGGACTCATCCACCTCTCTTCTGATCCTCTTCTTCATTTTCTTCTCCATCACACTTTTCTTCTTCTTGTACTCCACCTATGTCCAAAACTGGGGGTGGGGGTAGGGGTTCTAGAGCCCACCCTACCCCGCCTCTAATCAGCCTCTGACCAAGTCTATTTCTAATAATAATGAAGGTGGGTATTTTAGGTGCAAATTAAGAGGTTACTTTTCTATACTTGAATTAGTTATTTCCACATTAATAATTAAATAAGCAAGTATAGAAGAGTATATAGAATTACTTTATGATTAATTTTTATAATGAAAAATGTATGTAACTAATTTGGTTTAGGGGTTACTTTAGGTTATTGTTTAATTTAGGAGGTTACTTTTGTATTATTTCACATGCCAATATAAATAGCCAATTTAGATGAAAATTAGAGCATTACTTGATGTAATTTTTTAAAACAGCAGTTGTGGGAAATTTTAGTTGATTACTATAGATTGTTATATAATGGTATAATGCTAGTAGTGGACACTTTCTTGTAGTAGAAAAATAGAATAAATACAATGCCTATTATTATCAATTATGATTATAGTCTACCAAATAGATTCATGTTAGAGGTGGGAATTTAAATAAAACATAATGGATCAAATAGTTGTTACCGTCAAGTTTGTCAAATAGATGGCTAGATGTTTCTAATTTTTTTGTGAATTTTTAGTATGTATGTTTTTTCCTAACTCGTATGAGAATTGAGGATTAGTGCAGAAATTTATTTGGAACCTCTCATTACTAATAAGATGGGTTGCACAAGTAACGCCACATATTTGCCATTGCATTCCTAAACAACATATGTATGTGTCTTCGTCTTTCTCTTAGGGCACATAAGCTCTAAGTGCATAGGCATGGGTGCTTAGTGTTGATCGTAAAAATGTCACAATTTCATACACTCAAAATACCGTCAACAGCCTCGGAACAAAAGGAAGATAAGCATATTTTATCAAATAACAAGTTTCACATATCCATAGAGTATTTTTCTGCAAGACATTAGAAAATGAAGAAGATGAGCATGTGGGCCCACTATGGGGGACGACCGACCACCCCTATGGGGCCTACTACCCTCTCAATCCTTCCATGATCCATGAAACACACCTACAAGAAAATTCAACCCGGGGGTCAACTTTGTGTTTCCTCTCAATGGTCCAAGATGAAAGCACATGGATTGGATGGCCCACTTTTTCACCAAATTGACATGCCAAGGTGGTCCCGCATACATATACCCACTCAAGGGCACCAAGCAGACTCACCCCACCAGAGAGGGTGGCCCCACATGGTAGTGTGTGTGTGTGGGGGGTCGACCGGCCCCACCCAATCGCCCGACGCCTTAGGCTAGGCGCTCCATCGCCTTTGAACTTTCCTATGTGCAAACAAATACACCTTGGGGAGATCTCCACCCTTTATTCCAAGTTGGTTTGATCAAGTGGTTGAGGTGGAGAGCTTATGAATCCATGTGTCCACGTTTAAACTACTATACATAGAGGCTCTCACCCCCTCTCCATTCATGACTCAGCTTCAAGTGAAGGGTAGAAAAACTCCATTGTATCCTTAGTCTAGTAGGATAGTTTAGTGTGGGAGTTAGAGTTGAGTAGTGAACTTTGCTCGGGTTTCCAGATCTAGTCTTCTGGAGAGTCTGGTATATATCTTGTACCTTCCCCCTTTTAGTAAGATTCTACTCTGTTTAATGTAGTATTCTTTCTCTACTTTACTTAGTCTTTACTTTGTGCAACATTATTCTTGCAATATTGTTGTTGTGGTTTATCTTATTTCATATAGTCATAAGCATATTAGATTGTGATCTAGGACCCACACTTGTACATTGATCATTGCCTGTAATCGAGTGCTCTAATTGATCTGTGTGAACACAACTAGAGTAGTGAGAGAGAGTGTAAATGTGGTGTTTGTACTTGATCTTGCCTATGTTTGCCTCTTGTCACTATTGGTATTTATGAGTGCAAATAAGAAAATAAGAATTTTGCATGCACACAGATTAGCATTATAGCATTTCACCAGGAGTATTTTAGGTATCGTTATTTATATTTTACCATAAGGAGGGACGGTGGCAACGAAGAGATTGATAAATTTATACTTAGGATGGATTAAGTAACTAAACACTTACTCTAAACAGGGGTAAACCAAAAGATATATGTATATGATAAGCATAACTTTCAGAGAGAGACTCCAAAAGATAGCAATAGCTAGTCTAAATTTAAATACAAGTGAGATAAATTTCTAAATCATTCTTAATTACAAGTCATAGCATGTTATCATCTTTATATACATAGCAATAGCAAAAGATTAACTTCGTACTTATGCATAAGGGACATCTCTAAGGAAGAGCAAAGCAAAATATACTATCTTCATCATGACCGGGTCCTAATACTAGTCCGACAGACAGGAGGTGGATTACAGAGAATCAACATGGCTATCACCCATGCGATCTACCACACGTTCCAGAATGCAGGGTGCATCCATAGGCAAAATAATATATAGGCACCACGCCTACACAAGGTTTGGCTACTCAACCCGTTTGAACACTGAGTCGAGGGCTGTCAGATCCTATGCATAAATATATTGCTAACTTTTACTATACTAAACATATACTCAAAGCAAACTATGAACATGACACCTAAGAACATAATATAAATGAAGATCAAAATCATTGAATATGATAAATGTAATGGATACAAGGGCTATACAAGCCTTCAGAGACTGAATCCAGAATCCAAGCAGCAGCCTGACTCTACTTGACCTAACTTAACTAAGCTATGCTAATTCTCTAAGTTTGTGGGAGCTCTTCTCTTCTCTGAAGTTGGTTTGACTCAAATGAATTAAATGCCTTCATGGAGGCGGTCTGGGGGTCCTCTTATTAGGGCATCTAGCACCCTATGGGCCCATGAATCCATAGCACGACTCCATCTTGTCCCTCCAATCCAAACTGCCTTAGATGCATGGTGAAGATTGATCCTCAAGGTCGGTGCAGAATCCACGTCTAAGGAGGGGTTGACACCCTGCCCCGTAGGTCAGCTGACCTAGGGGCTCCATCAACTCCCTCTGAGCTCCTCTGCCGTTGATCTTTGGTGGTAAGTCGTGGATGGTGGATGTGAGGTCAGTGAAGTTGGTTTTCGTTGCGAATTGTCTTGATTTTCTGATGTAGTATGGCCCTTTTGCCCGTATTCTAGTTAAATCAGCCTGCATGCAAATATTCACCAAGACTTATGGAATTCGTTAGTTTAAAGCCTCTAACCCTATCTTGAATTCTTGATGTTTGGTTTTAAGGATAAATGCAGGTGAAATTGGTAGTTTATTTTTGCTATAGCGACCGTTAACAAGATCCCCAAGCTTACCCTTGCTAGTCCCTTGCAAAGTTAAACTTAAACAGTGGATCAGGAGTTACTACAATGCTTTCACTCCTTAAAAGTACACAAGCGTTCAATCAAAAATTCTCCTCCGGATTGAAATAAATTGATTTAACCTTCAACTTCATGGGGCTTCTTCTTAACCTTCACTTGTGTCTTGAGTAGTTGAAAGACAGAACGATCAAGTCAAGCATTATGTCTTAAGTTCTTTTGCTCGACCGACATTCTGGAGGTTTTATAAGTTTTCAAATAAAACTTAGATATTCCATTGTATGACACTCTCATGTCTCTCTATATCTCTATATGTGGTATTTTTGGATTTCTTACCAAGCCATCACTTGTTGTTGCCTTTTTCTTCCTATAACTAAGGCCTTTGTGGAGCTCATAGGTAGGGAGAAAGCATGAGCATAATTGCAATGCATATATTATAAAGTCAAACATAGGATCCAAAGACAAAAATGTTATACAATCAAATCAAGATGTGCATGCGTGTGGAATATTTAGTGGCTAAATATGTATGAATAAACAAAACCTATTATGCTCCTTCAAACATATCTCTATCTTTATTGAAACTTGGGATATTTTTGTGAGAACATGGGTTATCTTTATTCTCATCTTTATTTTTCTTTTCATCTTTCTTTCTTCTTTTCTTTTTCTCTTTTTTTAGATAATAGTCTCATGCCTCTTTTTGCAACAAAACTTTGGACAATTTATCTTGTTATTTTTTCTACGTGACCTTTGGAACCCAACTTTTCTTATAATTCTATGGCCATGGTATATCCAGTCTAACATGTTTGTCTCGTTTTCTTACTCTTGTTCTCCTTTCATTTTTTTCATTCTTTATTTTTTTCCTTTTTT